TAAACGTTAAACTATAACACTTGTAAACACATATCAATGGAATACATGTAATCATGCTCCCACTCGCTCCCTCGCGCAGGATACTATACAAAAATCGATGGCACTGCTATCGAAGCTCAAGTACAGTTTATGGACCGATAAACCGATGGATGATTTTGAGGATAGCGAATTGGACGTTCAATTATGGACAGCGGCGCTGAATGAGGTGTTTTTGTATTGCTATTGCGATGTATATTTTTGTTCCCTTTTTTTCTTTTGTCTTTTTCGCCCAATTCAAATTCGACAAAGCCTTTGTCAGCAGCGACAAAAAGTGGGAAAGTAGAACCTGACAGAATGCTATATTTGTATTCAGGTTTACATGGGCACTATGCCTTTCATACAACCAGGTGTACTTATAGTCATACACACCCAGCGATAAAGCTCTTAGTCAGCATTAGCTCACATTTCTCTCGTGTTTAGCAAGAATCATCCCTGACTTATAAATCATTTTACTGCAGTTGCGGACGAAAATGGGTGGCAGAGACATGTGTGTGTACTCCACTGTGCCGTGGTTGTTTGAAGAATGTTACCTCTACAGGCGTGTTCGAGAGGCTATGGTGATCCCTCACAGGTACAAACCCCATATTTAGAATCAAGATACGGAATATATTCGAATGCAGGTTTGTGTTATTATGCATATGTTTGTTATTTCAAACTTAGCAATGCCGCACTTCAATAGACGACAAGTGACCTACGGCGGATACTCTGCAGCACGATCTGCCACGCTCCTGAGAATCATCGATTTCTAACACATTACTTTTGACGGTAAAGTCCATTTTGTCCATGGGCGTTTCAGACCTACTGTAGCTGGTATGGGGTGAACTCATCAATCCTGATCTTGCAATGCTCATGTCTGTATATATATTTGTCTCAGAGCTACTGCGCTTGGTGTAAGTGAACCGCTGGATCCGTTCGCGCAGAAGAAGCACACGGCATGGGCTCAGAGCGCAGCGCCAGTGGCAACTGCTACTGAGAGGTATCGGAAGAGTCGCCAAGACGAGCGCTCCTATGGTGTGTGTCATATGTTTTTGATCGAGCCCATCAAACGGCCACTTTGTTGTGGATATAAACATGTCCAACTGTATATAGGTTTGAGCTTTGTCGATGGATTCTATCTGCCGCTTGTCGAATTCACAAAGACCTGCGGGTGGCAAGATAGCGGTATGGCCAGAAAGCCGGGGGAGTACACTTCCTCTCATACCGAAGCCTCAGCAAATATTTTTTTTGTGCGTATTGATGCGAACGTTTAGGTATGAATTTGCATCCTAATGGGAGAAAAGTCATGTTAGCGTGAGATTAAGGAAGTACCTTTTTGATTAGTGTGTCAAACACGTTCGTGCACATGTGTATTCGCAAGCGTAGGTCGGTGGACCTGTGCCTTTTGTCTGTTTGAAGCTTGATTTTCACCGATTCATGTTTGGATGAAGATATTGGTCGTATGCTTCTAGTACATATGCACAAATTGACTAGTGTGTATGGTACTTTTGCACATGTCCACCATATACCTATATATCCGTATTGGAGCATTGGTCAGCGCAGCGTCAGTACCTCGAACTTCCTTTCATCTCGACGACCAATGAGATGAAGAATCGCATTTAACTACTCATTCCCGAAGTTATATTTATGTAGCTCATTGATTCGCTCGCTTTGCTCGTAGGCAAACAAGGGTATCCTTAGCGTAGCATTTGTCATTGTCCTTTACATGCTACTTCTTGACTTGCCAGCGCCCCGCTGGTGTCCTTCGAGTGATGCCACTCCTCTGAATACTCAACGATAAAGTGTGGGAATATTCTTTAGTATTGCCGTCGCCCCACCGATATCCACACAGTGGAAGACCGATGAAATAATGGACACGGATGAAGAACACGTAAATTAATTAATATCACTATTGTCTCCTCCCCTTCGATATCCACACAGACGAACAACTGGCAGGTCTTATATTGGCTTCACTATGGGGCAACAGGAACGACCTCTCACTGCATATCAACACTGCAGTGGACAACTCTGCAGTAGAAACTGATGTCACGGAGTACAGTAGCAGCCATGTGCTCGTCGATCACGTCTCGGCTATTGTGGAGTGTGTCAAGGGTATGTTTTGTCGGTTAATGTGTGCGACCAATATGCGACACCAACACACATAATATATATATATATAATGTATATATATGGATATATATGTGTGTCTGTGTGTCTGTGTGTGTGTGTATATATGTCTATATATGTATGTATATATACATATATAGAATATACAAGGATATGTTTACATATATGCCATCGCAATAGTATAGGGAGAACGTCATAGAATTTAATCGATCCGGATATTTGAAGGTGCTGCTTGAGCATTCTCTGGCCAATATCTATATATGTCAATTGTACGTATGCTTTGCAGTGCATTTCCTAGATTTTGGGTGCGTTCTATTAATAAAAGTACATATATCGAATGATATATGTATATGTGTATGCATAATAGAAGGTAGGGTTTTTCTTGCACACAATTACGTCACTGAGTTCGAGGACAATGCCGTAGTTTTGTTTTTCACGTTTAACTGGCTTTCGCCATCTTGTTACTCTACAGATATAGGCGACGAGTCCGCTCGCATAGACATAATTCTTGATAATGCTGGGTTTGAGTTGTTCAATGACCTGCTCTTAGCAGATCACCTGGTAAGTATATATTCGTGGGTGATTGATGGGCAAACTTCTCGTGCGCAAGTATCTGAGAATGCATCTTTCATCTGCAGTGTACAAATATATATGAAATCATGAGAAATTATATTTATATATATATATATAGTGTGTCTGTGTCTGTGAGTATGTGGGCTCCGTGATGTTTTGGTATTCATCTGATCTTGAGAATGTACAATTATGTGTCAATATGAATATGCGCTATAGTGTTTCAGTTTATTTCACAGATAGGATTTTACAGTCACACACAAAGTGTATATATATATATATATCCTCTATCATATACAGATAATTTAAGAAGTACTACCTAGAAATGAGGGTTGGATTTTGATCATCAATACACATTGTCTGAGTTTCGGATCTCAAAGATCTGGTAAGTACACTTGTATGTGCTTTAGATGTACATTTGTGTTGTTAATTGTATAATAGTACAAGAATATAAACTCGTGTACATCAAGGATACATCTAGCTACCCATCTAATCCCACATTTGTTATTGTTGCCTTCGACTTTTGTGTATTTGATACATACAGGTGAGAGCAACATCATATCTGAATATGTACGTATTCAAATACGCTAGCACGTGCAATGGGCTCATGTATTGTTATAAACTGAATTTGTACTGTTTTCATGCGTGAGAGCGTATCTATAGTGTGAATGCTATATATACTGATACTAGATAGCCTTCTTCATATGGGGTATTTGTTAAGACGCATACATATTCGTGCACAATTCATGAGCTTATCTATGACATTAGGTACTTATTCTGATGATAGTTACGTGCCTGAAATGTAGATGGATACGCGCAAATGGTTTCCACTTTAAAAGTACACGTTCTTTAAGAGCTGTTGAATTGAATATCAAAAATTCTAACACAATCTGTTCTGTTCAAATGACGATTAAGTTCAGTATGTGTACGCACCTGAATTCTTTTGCACACGTATTTACATCTTTTCATTATATGGTGTGAAATATGTGCATGCATGGTCACACGAGCATGCGTTTTTACCCTCATGAATACATGACCTTGTACGTATGTACGTGTGCGTGCGTACGAAGGAATGAATGTATAATCGAATTACAATCGGTTGAGTAGTTACTTACGGATGTTTGGTTGTGCTTCAGTTTTAAGATTCTTTTCAATTCTACAACATTCCCACGAGATATAGATACATACACACATGATCTGCACAGATCCATACACAAATTAAATGTTGCTTCATGATTTCAGGTGTCGAAGGCTCTTGTTCGTATTCAAACCTTACTATTGACATAATGAGAACTCTTGCACATATACCTGTGTCCGTGTACAAACCATTTAGCACATGTATGCGTACATACACTACACTATACAATACACAGTACTATCTGCCAATGCCGCTTACGGCAATGCAGTACCACAGCACCATTTCAAATCTAAAATAGAATCGGATGTGCAACTTTCATTCAATACTGCTAAACAGTTCGTGTACCAATTCAATTACCTACATTTATAGCCCATTTCGATTCAACTACCTACATGTGTAGCACATCTTATTGAGTTCGTAGACGTATACCGAACATATTTTTGTATTGTCCAAACTCTGGATGCACCCAATATCTGCATAGAACGCATTCCTCAATGAACCTTACTCTAAATTTATTCTACCGGACATTCAACTATTTCATAGACGCGAGCGGGTAAGAATGTCAAAGTGTACCTACACGTCAAGCAATTTCCCTGGTTCGTTTCCGATGCTACTGAGACCGATGTCATGCAAACAATAGATGAAATGCGGAGAAGTGAAAACGAAGATAGCCAATGGTTGGGCGGTCGGTTGAAGGTGTGATTGCATTCAACGCGCTCGCTGCGTAGATCCGATTGTTTTGAGTTGAATGAACGAGTATGCTTGCTAGTTCCTGAGTATGCCTCTGGGTTACAGTCAATGAGGCGCTGGGTTTGCAGTTCGCTCGTTTGTCTGTTGTCTGCAATGTTTTATTTTGGTATACACGCTTGTAGAGGGATGTGTGTCTGGGTGTGACCAACTGTAGGCGTAGGCCCTTTGTTTGTATAGAACATTTACAATACGAACCAGATTTAGCTGGATATATCTGTGTAATTTGCGACACGGGAAGATGACACAGATGTGTGTTGTATTGGTATCAAGCACTGCTCAATTTGTAGCTGGGTGGGATATCGATAAGTAAATTTGTCTGGTGTGTGATAAGGTATGTATGCACAGACATGTGGTACGTTGTTTGTTCTCATAGTTCACTTTGCGTTTCCTCGTGGCTTTACAATAGTTAGCAGTCCCAATATCAGAAATGCAGATTGCTGGACTCAACTAGGCTCAACCTGACTTATGCTGTGTTTCATTGTACTTTGTCAATGTGTTAGGAGAATTTAGCGTCGCAGAAATGGGTGATAACTACTCACACCTTCTGGACTCTGTGGAATGACTACCATCATATGGAAAGTGTGGCACCCGATTTGTTTGCGGAGTTGAGCAAGTCGCAACTGCTGATATTCAAAGGCGACCTTAACTACCGGAAGCTACTTGGGGACAGGTAAGATGAACAACCGTTTATGGACCCTTTGAATATTGCAGAACAAGTGCAGGTCTATCCCTCAGAAGTTCGTCTCCATTCTGAGACTCGCGCCGATTTGTCGATTTCTAGGCTCAAAAACAAATCTTACAAACACATAGGACATTTTAAGTTTCTAGTAGTCGTTCAAGTACCGTTGATATTTATATTACTCAACCCCGTTGTTGCCTTCAGACCCTTTCCTGCCCGGGAAGCCTTCGCTGATTGTGCCCCGAAGTTCGGCAGTGCACCCTACTGTGCGCTGCGCACAAACAAATCCGAGGTTATCTGTGGTTTGAGTGAAGAGACTTTAGCTTCTGTTAGCGATGGCCCCAACAACGACTGGATGGTCACCGGAGACTACGGGGTGGTGCAATTTTATCCAGCCCCGTAGTCGTGGTGTGGTTATTGTACGTCCTTGCTGTGCTATGTAGTGCCATCTTGGTCAGGTACAGCCTTAGTGTAACACTTTGCAGTATGTCGGGGGCTCTGCACTTTTCCGGCAAAGCGGTGGTGATATTACGACCGTGCCTTGAGCTGAAGGACTCCTGTACTTCCGTTCTGTGCCGTAATTTTGATACTCTGTGAGAATTACCCGCCGCAGCATTGGTGTTTAAGTCTGGACTTTGCATAAAAAATGAGAATATGCTGCCCGTACTGTAGTCGTGGTACAGTCTCAGTACCGGCGAATACCGTGTACCTAAGTAGAGGTCTGGTGTGTTCATGCAAATCAGAACAGTTACATTCACTTTGCCTTAGCAGTGGTGTGATTAATCCCCGAGTCATTTCCATGCGCCAGTCTATGAGCTTCAGCGCCTTTGCTGCCGCACGCTACAAATCGTATTTCACTGCACTGGCGCTATTCTCCCCTTCTCTCTGGAACCGTCACAGTTTTGGATTCTTGAGAGTGGGCTTATTTCTGTATCGTCAGAGTTTGTACTCGAAACCGCCATGTACGTCTTTAGGATCCGCGAGTTCACACGCAACCCTTAGTCCTCAGCAGTTGAACTCGACATCGTTCTATTTCAAATTGAGCCTCCTGATTTATTTGAACCGGGAAAATCCGAATACTGGAGATTGCGGTGGGACGTAGCTCCAGATGGGGCATAGGTACTTTTTAGAGGCGTACATGAGCCGAATATTAACTTTTCATGAGCTGAATATATCACCGATCCCATTTTCAATACCCCCCATACCACTCCCTGCCCGTGGCACTAATCCCAGTCCAATACTCTCTGGCCCTTCCCCTGCCCCATCTCTCCCTGAAACTTCTGGACCCGTTTACCGATTTGCCTTACTGCTGGCTCCTAATTCCGTGTCCCCACAGCGTTTCCTATCTACCCACCCACCAGCCGCATCACTCCTACCCCAATTGATACCCTTCTTGAAGCCATGCCAATCACATCCGCCCCGCTACTTAAAAGCGTATTTCCGATATTCTCGCACCGCTTCGGCAACCACAAAACACCTGCGCACCCGACTACCGCCTTTTATATTGATGTTGCTTTCAATTATTTATTGATGATTACACACATGATATACTCATTACACTAGACATACACATGACAAACACGATACACTATCTACACTAGACATACACATGACAAACACGATACACTATCTACACTATACATTCAAAAGGGCAGGCAATTTTGCTTTTAAAGCCTCTCTGATCAAATTGTCGCCTTCAGATGTATACGCTCTCTGAAGAAATTCAATGTTCAGTCCAAGACTTTGAATCTCCGCTAGCTTCACAGCTGCATTAGTTTCGTGAGCTTGACGTGACGCTGCCATCTTCTCTTCAAAAGCGTGCTTGTCGTTGGCGAGTTCAGTTGAAGTTCGTGTCGAAGTGTCAGACACTGCATATCTGGTTTCTTATCTCGACCGATAGCATACAATTTAGATATCAAAGCATCGTGCATTGCCGATTCCTGTTCGTGACGTTTCTTGATTCCAGCTTCTCTGCGAGTCGTTATATCTTGGACCATCGAAATCGCGGCATTAAGGAACGGATTCGCACTGTCCGTGCCACCGGTAAGTAACCATACCATCACAATGTAGTCTTTATCTGTAAAACTTGCAAAGTTTGTAGGATTGTTTTGACCGGAAATAGCCCAGCGGCTGTGACCAATGCGGACGTCACATTTGACTTCCTTAGCTTTGACTGCAATTTTGGCGGAAGGCTGCTTTGGTAACATATTGATGTCCTCGTCTACCAGATCCTTAAAACGCTCCGCATCATAAGCAAACTCCGTATAAGCGGACACGATGTAAACATTACAATGATCATTGAATAAAGTTGCCAGTATACCATGTTCAGCATAAATGTCTCCTTTCTTTACAATGCCGTCGTCAATCTCCTCTCGGGTGTGTGCATTGGAAAAGTGTTTAGACATTGCTGGAAAGGTAGTAGGAATAATATTAATTATTTCAAAGGAGATAGGTTACAATGTATGTATATATGATATGGCTCCCATAGCCGTTGTAGTGTTTCGGGGAAGATCGATGGGAAGAAGTGGTCAGTATATTTCCGTTTGAAGCTTGGACCAAGTGAGTCGACGATGGAGGATATGCGCTGGGTCAATTCAGGCCGGTGCTGACAAAAAAACTGACCCCATCGAGTGTGCCACGTATTCGCTTGCTGACCTACTAAATAATAGCGTACCCACCTCTGTGGTTCGGATCGGGTCTTCAACGTATAGTGCCGTGGAATGGGATAGTGCAGAGTACAAAATGCAGAGTAGGACAAGGTTATCGGTCATAATTCCGCTGAGGAGCGAGGTTGGGGGTGCACCGATGCCGCACCAGACCACGGATGCACTCAGTATGCGCTGGTTGGCCTGGATTGGAAGTATCATGGTCGGAACCAACAGGCGCGATAACTTGGTTTGGACCGAAATTTGGAAGTAGTACTTCAACAGCATGTTTAGCCGGGGTATGGGGAACATCTGTTGATGTGTCAGATACGGGTGTGGGTACAGGGGTTGTGCTACATGCTGGAAAAAGGGTCCAAGGTGTTCGTGGAACGTCCAGATACCGTGGAAATTGTGGCGCTCCTGTAATTGCTAGAGGAGATCAGGGCCAATGGAAGATAGTTTTGGGCCTACCAGGATGCGTCGGACCAGTTGCTGGATGGAGGCAGAGTGACTGGTGGTGAATTTGTGGCCACCGGGGCGACAGGGCAGAGACAACTGTCAGTGCGGAGTTGAGTAAAGAGCCGGATTGGTGTAGGCTCGAAGAAGCGGTTGAAGCTGTCGTGTCTGGCTTTGTCCCGATATAAAGTTGGCAGTTTGCCCATGACCAGTTGGTAGTAGTATTGACGCCGGGCCATTGTCGCGATTTCCGTGTTGAACAAGCGTTTCGTTGAGTTCCTCCTATTGTCGTCAAAGAGTCGGCGTAGGGCTAAATGGTCGGGTGTACGCCCGTCCGTGGTTTTGTATACAATTTTCAGGTGGGCATAGATACTTTACGGGAAGCGCAGTGACGGTTTGCCGTGGGCCCAGGTGGGTTGCGTCAGAGGGGTGAGTGGGTTTGTGCTGGCCATTGAGTCGAGTTGTAGTCCCAGGCAACCTCCGAGGTAGTCCGCGAATGGTCGCGTGGGAAGCAGGCCACAAAAGTGGAGTAAGTTTGCTTGATGTATGGGCAACCTAGGGTATTTGTTGCCCATGATGATGGCTGCTGCTTGAATGAGTACTGAGTTATAGCGCTCAAACAGGGGGCCCAGCACATCCTTCCATATAGGCGGAGCCCAGGCAATAATGTACAGGCTATATGTAGCCGTGGTTAGGGTGGATGTTTTGAACTGCACCAGTCGGTTGTGGGGGTGTCGCCAGCTGAAGCCATGGAAGCCATAAGCGCAGAAGGAGGCGATACCCAGGGACAATGCTGCAATCAGGGATTCCGTATGTCTGGCGAGGTTCATTCCTGGTATTCCGTGGGGGAGTGGGAAACCCAGGTATTTGGACAGTTCAGGCTTGGCATGTGTGGGCGCCATCTTCAGGGGGAGGTAACGTGTATATTAAGGTGCATCCGCAAGCGTCGGCGTGATAAGCTCAACATTTATAGGGAGGGTTGGCGCCGCGTGTCGCAAGTCGGTAGATAGTACTCGGGGTTTGATGACACCCTGTTCGAGGCCAAATTTGCGTCCCCAAGCATCAATGTCGTCTAAGAAGGGCTGGAGCGGAACCTGTTGGGGGGCTTGGATTCGGGTGTCGTCGACAAATAAATAAGAGCGGAGGAGCTTGGGCCGGAATTGTGCTAGTGTTACAGCCAACGAATACGTGTAGATAATAAAGAGCTGGGGGCCAACGATTGAGCCTAGTAGGATGCCATTCGTTCTATGAAATAGATTCCCGTGCCGTGGTATATTACTCGGGGGGACCCTCTCAAATAGCGTGCGGATGCAGTTGATCCAGTTTTCGGGCATCCCAGTGTGGCACAGGAGTACCCACAGGCACGAGAGAGCAAGCCTATCATATTCCTTGGTAGTGTTCAGGCAGACGTCGTTCCACTCCACTTCCGACTGTGTCTCAGATTCTATGGCGGCGGGTGCTTGGGTATGGCAGGAGTATCGTGATTTGAAGCCAGCTTGGGTGGCATGGGTAGCAGAGCCGGGGTGGCTCGTAATCAGCTTGAGGAAGCACTTCTCAAAGATGCGTCTGACTATTTGCGTTAGCTTGATAGGGCGGAAGTCGGCGGGGGAGGTGATATCTGCATCGACCTTTTTTAGGTGCGCTGTCAGGAGGATGCAGTCCAGGGCTGTAGGGAAGGTGCCCGCCTTAGTGAATGCTTCGGCAAGGAGTTTAATCAGTAGGCTATTTGGCGTCAGGGCGTCCTAATGTCATGCGTTCGGTGGAGCGCTCCACTGCGACCTTCAGAAGGAGGATGTGGATCCTGTCAGGGCCAGGCCCGTTACTGTGATAGCGTAGTATAGCCTCCATTACATCGTCGGGGCGTATGGTGGAAGTGACATCAGGAGAGGGTTCGGTATCGGGTGGAACCACGTACGGGTTTGTAGAGTTGAATAGGTCCTGAAAGTAGCCAGTGATGGTGGCGCCTGTGTTATCGGCACCCGGAATGCGGGGTTGGCGCGGAGATCGTCGTTGGTACGCAATATCTTTAAGCATTTGAGTATTACTTTGGGCGGTCAGACGTGGGCGGAACGAGTGGTTTGGGTATTTTTTAGCCGTTGTACCCAGGGTCTATCTATGTCCTGGTAGACTCCCCCGAAGATTTGTGGGCTAGCGGCATAGCGCCAGATGCGGGGGAGGATCCGTAGCAGCCCTTCCGCTGGACCATGTAAGATGAGATACGACCGTTGTAGATTCTGATGCGCCCGGATTTCGGCTTGAAATAGTATACTGGGGACACAGAAGCGCACGAGATTTGTTTCGCAGACGATAAAATCGAAGACGATATCGGTTATATTCATGAGGGGGAAGGCGTTGGTCCGGAGGCGGCGGCATTGTTGACATTTATTGGGGCCGATGGATTTGTTCCGTTGGAAGTACCTGGAGATCGAGCCCAAAGGTGTGATCACCACAGATACCGTAGTCCGTCAGCTTATAGATCTGGAGGGAGGCGGAGGTGGTGGAGCGGTGATACGCATGTTCTGTACCAGTTGAGCCGCCAGCATAGAGGTAGTCCAAGTGCCACGTATTACATTAGGACAATCTCGATTGTGACGCAGGGTAGTCTCGATTGTTGGGTCGGCAATCACGTGATCAAGTCGAACCCAGTCGTTTGTTGTCCATTTATGACCCTTTTTGGCATCTTTCTTACTCTTTGATTTAGTAGCAGCTACTGCTTTGTCTGTTCTCTTCTGCACCACTATCTTGTACCATCTATCATATCATTTTCTTTACCAGTCTTAGAAACACTGCATTTGTCCCCATAAGCTTGTAAAGTAATTTTGTTGCAACCTTATTAGTTAAAATAAAATTGCCGATAGTACGCCTGTCTCTCATAGAACCAATTTCAGCATCGCTATCATCATCGGATGATATGACAGACAGTTGTCTCAGAAAACCA